GATGACGGAGGCAGTATGACCTCTGAAACGTTGGTTAACATCGACCAGACTACACAGCGCAATAACCCAGAAGATGGATATCTTCATGCTTCTTTATTTGCTAATTCTATTATTTTGTAAAGAATATGAATTACAAAGCTCCTAAATAAATAATTATCTTGAGAATGAATGACCTAAGATATGGTATAACACTTGCTTGAAGACTTCTTTTCTACCTTAGAGTTCTCAATACTAGAATCATACTTGCTGCTTTCTGAATATTCTTGTTGAGGATTTCTCTGTCTTTCTGTAGATCATCACAAGTCTTCCTGTTATTCTCCATTTGCTTCTTGGCTGTACCCAGATCTTTCTCCAACTGACCAATAACTCCTTTCAGCTTCTCTTTTTCCTGTTCCAAGCTCCCACGTTGATTCTCTGAATGTGTCAGCTTCTTGACGCACTGTTCATGCATATTTCCCACCTTAGATACTTCACTGTGCAGTCTTGTAACTTCTTCCCCTTGCATCTGTGTAATATTGGTAACAAAATGCATTATTAACACAGTGTATGTCCACAAACATCACATTGAATATCATGATCCCACACAAGCAGGAGGCATAATTCCAAAGCGAGGAATATTTCAGGTTTTAATATGTTTTTGTACAAAATGCATAAAATGAACACAGTGAAAAGGTCATGTCCAGCCATCTGTTCACATATTTCACTTCTCAAACCATTTAACAGACTTCGTTTTGGGCATATGCTCTAAACATTGTAAGGATAGTTTCAGTTTGTTCTGCATCGTTCCACTATAAATTTTACTCTAAAAGAAGATCAAATTAAAAATCATTACATTTCTCAAACATAGCTCATCAGACAAAAATGGGAATGCAGACATAAAATATAAACCTTACGAAGGTTTATAACTCACTCTGAAACAGTTTTCAAAATGGGGTACATTATATGAAATATATGAAAAAATAATTTTTCTCTATGCAGTGTGATATCTCTCCTGTTGATTTGCTTTGTCAATAACACATTTGTATCTGTTTTAGATAAACAATAAAATCAGCAAACAATACAGAATTGCTAAGACGTGTGAAAATTAAACATAAAGATTGACGTTTTTGTGAAGCAACTTGAAATGCTGGTAAGTTCATGCAATCTGGATTACACGACTATGTGATTCAGCAGTTTGGATTCACTCTTCTTCATTGTTGCAGTAATTATACTTGCTTTCAGAAACATGGGTGATACGTTATTATAAGAGAATTAACATTAAATATTCCTTATTATAATTTTGTATCCTATATTTCATTTTTCACTCCATTGTATTTCCTGAATTTTGTTCTTTTCTATTGTCATTGTATACTACTGTCTACTTCCATGGTTCTGCCTTCCCCTTCTCCACCCACCCCCACCCCCCAGTTACACTCATCTGACCTTCTTCCATTGGCGTCCTTGCTCTCACTCAATACTTTTGGATAATTTACAATGTTACAAACACTTAAAATATTCAGATTAAAAACTGCAGATTCCACAATTTAATTTGGAAAGAAAGTGGTTATTCAGAATAAGCCTGACTTTATAGTCTGGAGTTATTTAATGACTCAAGAGTGCCTGATTTAAACTGAGTTTAATAGATTATACAAATGTTAACGGGAACCTGGGTAGCTCAGCCAGTACAGTGACTGGCTATGGACTGGATGATTGGAGTTTGATCCCCAGCAGGGGCAGAAGATTTTTCCTCTAGCCTCTGCATCCAGACTGGTTCCAGGGTCTACCCAGCCTCCTATCCAATGGGCCTGGTGGTAAAGTGTTACCAAGGTGTGAAACTGACCACTCACCCCTATCTAGTGCAGAGGTTAAGAATGAGTAGGAGCTGTACCACCACTCAGCTCAAGTGCCTACATGGCATATTGCGGGACAGCTTTACTTTTACTTTATACAAATGCTGAGAGAAGTTGTTTCAACTACACTGTTTATACGGTATGAAATGAGATGGGAAAATGGTAGATAGCACATTCAAGTTTAGGTGGAAGACAAGCACAAAATATTTTAAGGTAATGTTCTAGTATTCATCTGAAGAGACTGATGAAAACCAAAGAGAACTTCTGCCAGGATAGTTGGTAACCCAGTTAAGATTCAAAATGTGTTAATCCAAATTTTAAATTTAGAATGTTACCATAGCAGCAAGCTGCTTGATTATGCACAGAATATATATACTGTGTTATGAAGAATTACCTTAAGTTCATGTGTTTTAGTAGAATTCTCATTTTTCAGCTTTTCAAGACTTTCTGCCTGCAACTCAAAATCCACCTGCATCTTGGCCAGTCGATTACTGAGGCTTTCAAAATTTCTCTGTAAGCGCTCATTCAATGCCTGAAATATTGTGGAAAATTATGCCTTTAAAGTATCTGCTAAAATCTCATCCAATCCACACTGTTATCTCATCCTGACACATTCCCTGTAGCCAAAACTTGGCTTTTTGAAGTAACTAAAGTTACTTCGAATACTTTATTGTATGTTACATGTTTCAATAAATCATTATTAGTATTAAAATTTGTAAGTCTTATCATGCATTGTGCCACATTATTTATTGCAAAATAAATTTTATTTAATCCCATTATGATTAATCTTTATATTGTTTATTAAATTTTAGAAGGTACCATTTTTCTGTTTGCATTGTCTGTTTTGGTTTAGTTAAGTTTTATAAGCTGCAGAGTCAACAGACTTGAAGCAAATGAAAAGTCGTATAACAGGGCATGTGTATCCTTTATTGTGTGATTCCAAGTAAATGAGTGAGGTACTTTATGGTGACATTCATTTTGATGGATATGCAACTCATATGATTAAGAAGTAATTAGAACTGTAGGTTCAAATTAATGAATAATGTCTGAATGTTTGGAACCGGCATTGAACCCTGGGTTCTCCTTAGTGTAAAGTAATGCCTATGATGGAGCACAGCAGATATTTATTTGCCTTTTGGTTATGAAGAGTTGCACTATAACTCTGTACTAATGGGTAAAAATTCTTCAGCATTACTTTAGCACACACATTTAACAAGAAACACACACATATAACAAGATTATTAATCGTAAGAAGCCTAATAATCTACCAGACTATATGGCAAAATAACCCAGAAGACAGCAATCTTCAGACTCACTGCTGTCAAAAACCTCAAATCCTACAAGTTTAATAATACTATTAAGTAAGGTTTGAAGCTTTCATAGCATACAAATGCACGAAAATTGTTGCAGGTGATAAGGCTCATCAAAGTTAAATTAAAGACCAATATTTTGGGAGACATGCTCTGTCACCATCATAAGGACCAACTCATCTTTGGCCCTGATGACTTTGCTGATACTTTGTAGGATTATAGTGAATACCTATTAAAATTAAATCATCATAAGTATTGTGCAAACTCCATCACATGCAAATGAAACATTTCATCTTGCACAGAGGTTGGTTCAATTACACTATTGATTGAATTATTGATACTAAAGTGTGTATTATCCAGAATGGTTCTGGGCCCACCTAGAGAACACTGAAAAAGGTTTTGTAATGAGACACATACCCTCACTGAAATGTAAATGGACAACAAAGATCTTGGTATGATCCCAGATTTTCTAAGTTATATGGGGGATCTATCTTGCACAGGAATCAGCAAATCTGCACATTGTTCATGACAAGGAACTTATTATATAAATATGATAGTACATCTAGTTTTAATTTTGTTCTCTTTTCCATTAATACCTTTAAATCTTTCACATTTGTTTCTAGCTTTCCAACATCGTGCTGTGCTTGACCAAGTTGATGTTTAAGACTTGTTACTTGTGTAGATTTTTCGTCCAAGCTTTTAAGTAATACCTTCAGTTCTTCTTCCAAGTGTTTTTTGATGTGGAGTTCTTTGTTTATTTCATTTCTTTGATTCTGAAAGCAAATCACAAACAAATAATTTATATAAGACGTACAAATTATGTTCACTGTTCATTAGTAGAGGTATTACTTCTCACACATATGTAAGAGTGAAAGGCCTATGCCTCATTCTAGTTCCGATAGTAACATTTACTCACTTTTTAGAGTTTTATGTGTTTGTCTAAAACAGTACAACACTCAATAAGAATTATGTTTGGTTGGAAACACAAATTAGATTAACAACAGATGGATATGGAGTGATTTGTAACTGAATAAAAGATATGAAGTTAAATCAAGTTATTACAGTAAATTCCTGATTATCTGTGTGCAGATTATCTAGTTTCTGAAGTATCCATGCACAACATTTCTAGGCTTTTGATGTCTTTCTGTGTTACACCATCCACTTTGGAAGGTTCTGGTCGTGGGAGGGTCTGCAGAAGATACAGCTGAATAATACCGTACTTTTTTGGTGCTTTATGGTCAGTAGAGTGGGAAGGTTTGTTCCAGTGGTCATGGTAGTAAAAACAGGGGATGGTACAGGTGCTTGGTACTGGAAAGGCTTACCAACAAGAACCCTCGTGTTTGAAAGGCAGAAGTGTGCTCCTGGGTATATATTATCCAAAGAATGCCTTATGGCCATGTGTTGTAGAAATGCATCCAGAAATCACAAACTAAAACTTGTAGTGATTGGACAACTAAAAACCATGACTGTTCAAGAGTACCAAAGTAAATAATATTATCATCCATTATGACAACCAGAAATGAGCAGGGATGGATAGGAAGATTTTTGAAAATTGGTTCTCCAAGCATTTTATCCCAGAAATTAATGCTTTCCTGAAAGAGGGGATTACCACAGAAATCACTTTTGCTACTACACAATGGTCAATTTCACGCAGATTTTTATATGCTGATGATACTGCAATCATTGTACAACGCAGGAATTTCAATCAAGTGGAGAGGAATTTAACAGCAGCTCTTGAAACGATAGGCAGATACTATGAAGTAAACCATCAACAGCTGAAACTGAGTGAAACATAGGTTTATGCTTTTCATCTTCATAACAAGGAAGCCAAAACAAGACTCAATATTGTGTGGAGAGGCGTTGTTTTAGAACACTGTGATAACCCAAATATTTGGGAGTAAAACTAGACTGTACTCTCTCGTTCAAGCAACACTGCCAAGATCTTAAAGGAAAAATCAGTGCTAGAAACAATATCATCCATAAGTTGATAGGCACAACATGGGGAGCACTGCCTTGTGTTTTACGTTCATCAGCCCTGGAACTGTGCTTCGCAGTAGCTGAGTATGCAGCCCCAGTGTGGGAAGCATCAGTACACACCAAATATGTCGATGTAGCCCTGAATGAAACTGGACGCATCATAACCGGATACATGAAACCTACTCCAGTCCAGAAAATTTACTTCCTAATTGGCATAGCTCCTCCCAACGTTAGAAGAAAAGTGGCAGGAGAAGTTGAGAGAAAGAAGCAGGTAACAGACATAAGGCATCTGCTGCACAACCACCGTAAAATTCCTACTTGACTGAGATCCAGAAATAGTTTCAAAAGAGAACCATACCATTAGAGGCACGGCCCAGGGCCCATCGAATCTCACTCTGGAATGATACAATGCCTGCTAATATGGACCTCGAGCCCAGAGAAGAACTCGGCACAGAGCGCCAATTACCATATACTACATGGAGATCCCTGAACCGTCTCAGAAGAGGCGTGGCAAGGTGCAGATCTAACTTGCTAAAATGGGGCTACAGCAATGATGAAGAACAGTGTGACTGTGGACAGACTCAGAGCCCAGAAAATCTACTCATATGTCCAAAGATGGGTGAAGTCTGTACAGAACAGGATTTGATGCTAGCTAATAACAAGGTGATTATCCCCGCAGAATTTTGGAAAAATAATATTTAGGTACTGCCAGACACGGAAATGAATGAATTTCATGCAAGAGACAGCACATTGACTTCTGATGACTGCCTCATCACTGTAAAGTTCACTGTAATGCTGCTGGGGAGGGGGGAAGGGGAGAAAGTGAAGAAAACAAACCTTTTCCCAAGTTTTGATGAGAGAACTAGATTATGTCTAAACTCCGTCATGAACTATTGATCATGCCAACTTGTTTCATATCAGACAGAAGCATATATCCAAATTCAACAATCACAGTTTATGACATGAATTAATACCTCCTACCTTTCATTTGCTGAGAATAAAGTTGGGCTCCTATACATAGCATGCCATTGACAGACTCAGCCAGATGAAATTGTTAAAAAGAATGAAATCCAAGGCAAGGGGTTTGAACAACATTGCTCTGTTTATGAAACAAGAGAATTTTAAACTTTTGATGATTAAAATATATATAAGCCATGCAGATTATTATTTAGTCTTACTCACACAAAAAACTTATGTGTACTAGGAAATTTGAAAATATGCTGAAATTCTGCAGCCTAAATTATAGTTCACGAGAAGTCATTTACACAAGATAGCAATTCTGTCAAGATACATTATTTCTCAATGAAACAATATTATGGAGCATGGACAGAATACAGAATAATGCTATAATAAGAAGTTTCACTCAGAAATAAAGGTCACTTCTGCTTGAAATAACTTATATTTTTATCATAAAATCCTCTCAGGCTAGCAGCCACATCAGTATTGGTTTTTGATGCAACATTGACATGGCTGACAACCCAAGATTTTATAATATTTATGCAACATGAAAGTTCTAAATTTTACAAACTGATTCTTTAAACATTGCTAGTAAAGAAAAATCTTCTGTCTTTTCTCCGTGAAGGTAATGTGTCACAGATCCTAAAATAAGCTTCCTACTCACTATATTTCTTGCATTCTTACTTCCTGGTCATCTCAGATATGTAAAGAAATTTTTTTCAAAAATATATTACTATTTAACCATTTCCCATACAAATGCACAAAAATGTTTTGATGTAAATTTTTATCCCTGGTTTTATCACTAAGAATCATCTATGTTTTCTTCCTGTCTCCTGACATCTGTGGACAGAATCAACTAACTTCTTAATGCTTTGATAGATCATATGATTATGTATGGGGCAGTGATTCTTTTACACATCTGCTGCAGTTTGGTTGCCATTAACTACAATAATTTATTGTAAAATGATATACTAAAATACAGGATTTAGTCTGTCTGAATAGAGTAATATACTTATTTACGATAAGATTCCAGAAATGTTAGCATTTCGTGCCCACCTCTAATTCCTGTGTTAATTCACTGCATCGTAGGTCTGCAGCAGAATTCTTTCTTTCTAAATCTTCTTGCACATTTAAGGCACCAGAAAGTTGTTCTTTCAATATCACAATTTCATCCATTAAGCATTCCCTCTCTTTCAGGAAATTATCTCTGTCTTTCATTGCACTACCAGACCTAAAACACATTTGGAAGACATGTACAGAACTACAAACAGCCATACAATTGTTGGTTTAGTGATAATGCAGAATAGGTTCTCTGTCCTCACTGACAGATCTCTCTGCATGACTTTCTCTTTCCTTGCCTATAGCAAAGATACAGCTTTCTTAATGACAGTAATACTGTGCCTCATCACAATCCCCCCCCCAATAAATTGTAAGTTCACTCTGCTAGTTCTCATCCTGCCATGGCGAGCAACAAAGTCTGTCTCATAGGAATCCCCACTTCTGAAATGGACTCCTTTAACAGTGGTATGTCAGACACAGACCTGGATATTTAAATAGGCCATAAGCAGAGACATTAGCCACTACAGACAATCACTACATTGTCAGGTGGCTTGTAACCTGGGAGTCTTTCATCAACTTTAGTCACCATGAAAGCTTCACTTTATATATACTACACACGTCTCTTCTTGAAAACTGTTCAGGTTTATCCTAACTTTAACTAATTTGGTAGGATCTAAACACAAAGACATACCATAAGACAATAAACAGTGTGACCTATCACTCTGTAATGTAGGATTCATGTAGGCTTTCTATAAAGAAGGAATGTTCACCTGCAAATTCAGATCAAGATAATAGGTGAATATGATGCAGATACATAATATTTTTATATGATGATATGCTGTGCCTCCAAACAAGTGCAATGTCAGACATACAACTTTGATATGAAAGGCAAGTAACCCTAGGAGTAACAATAAAGAATGCAGATCAGAATGTTCCTCCAAAACACTGGTACCTAACTACACATCTACACGGCATAACAAGGGGGGGGGGGGGGGCGTTTGTAGTGCTATTTCTTATGTGGATCCTTCAAATTCTTTGATGTAAGAATATTTATATAACAATAATAATGACAAAAAGTTGATCTTTGAAAGCATGAAGCACATGCAAATTATATTACTTCATAAGAATGGATGGCATGCCATCGTAATTTTCCTGACATGAAAATTTGTAAATCCCTATCATTATTGATTTCAACATTATGGCCATAAAGTTTTGAGGTGGTATCGTTTCATATAAAAAACTTTAGTTACTGCCATAATTTTTAACATCAGTCTGAAATACATATTTAATAATACAACTGGGAACTTAAATTAATAATTTAAGTCTCAAAAATACATTAATAACTCTCTATACTCACTCTTCTGATTGGTCTAATCCAAGCTGAACTCTTTGTTCCATCTCTGTAATCAGTTGACTTATTTGCAGTCTGAGGTTCTCAATTACTTCTAGAGAGTTTTCTTCTCTGGCATGAGCTGAATCCACCATTTTCCACGCTTGCTGAATTTCACATTTTAGCTGATCAATTGTTTCTTTACTGGCTGCTGCCAATCTTTCTGCAACAGCTGTTTTGGCAGTATTAGTTTCTGCCTGTGCTTGTAATGTTTCATTCTCCTTCATGAGTTCCTCTTCATGAGCATGGGCCTTGTAGAATGCTTTAAAAATTTGTATGTATTCTTGGGCAAATGTTTCCACGCCCTCCTTCTCATCCATCTGAGCAAGCACCTGAAAAGCATTATTAAATTTGTAATAACAGTATGAGGTTTTACCTTGTACTCTGCTTCTGTGATGTTATGCTAAGGACACTGGAGATGACATATTACAAAACAAAGAGTTCTATAAAGATCTAATTATGCTTCAGTTTCTTCAATGATTAATTTGGCAAGGCAAGGCTAGCAACTGCTATGATTCATTATGGGCACAATGTTTAATAATGCAAATTCCCACTGTTTGTCAGCTGCAACCTTCCACATGCTTGTCATCTTTATAACTAAAACACAAAAGAAATGTTTCACATACCATTTTTACAGCTAAAGCTATGATATATCTCCATACAACATTTCAAACACCTAGCTGCAATAGTTCATTAATCACTGCCATGCAATGGAAAGCTAAATATGGATTCCTTGAGGCTTCCATGTTGTTTTACAGTCTAAACAATTACAACCTTTACAACAGTTGCATATTTTCAAGGACTTGTTACAGCAATCCCTTGGCAACTGCAGGGGTTATGTTTCTAAGAAGCATTGCAGTTTCTGAAACCACAGTCAGGAGGACCACATCTTATGGGGAATTAGGGGTTGGGAGAACACTAATCAGAGTTGAAGTACATACAAAATTTCAGTTCAGAAGCATGATAGGAACAGACTGCTTGGGAGATCTGAGCATAGATAGAAGAATTAATATTAAAACTAATATTGCAGGAATAGAGAGTGAAGATATGGACTGAATTAATGTTGCTGTTAAAGCCCTGCCCCCAACAAATTAAAAATTCCAAATGCATTAAACCAAGTAGTGAAGCTGCCAGAACTGGATATAAATGGAAAACTGTGATTACTTGAAATCCCTGTTTGATGAGAGATTGCTGTATCTCATAAAACTTCTGGATTCTATGCTATTAGGCTTATAGTGTTACTAGATATTCTTACAACTTTTAAGATCAAAGAATATGGACATATTAACAAGTACGAAGGAGGGTTGGCATCTAGTGTCATGAAATACATACAAAGTTGTAACAGAAATCCATCAATTATTTCAAAAGTTATTATAACAGATACATACAAACATAGTGATACCATTCTTTCATGTACAATAAAGGAAATAAACTAAAGTATACCAGCTTAAATTGAAATAAAATGTTTGCATTGAGTTCAACTGTATGCAGCCTCACTTTTTAGTAAAAGGTTAGTTAAGTTTTGTGTTTAATGAAAACAGTGCCACTGTGCCATATCATTACATAACATGGGGTAATAGCACTGCATAAAACTCTGCCTAATCTACATAGACTTTCTTTCTCTTACTTATTTCCTTACTCTGGATATTATGGTTCATATGGCCATGTTCATTTGTCTGCCAAAACAGTTTGCTGACATGCTCCTGGAGGTCACTATAATACCAACCTTTCATTTCTCTACCATCATTAACAGAGCACCAACATCAGTTCAACTTTATGTACAGTCCTGAAGTTTGTTACAATGACGGATATGAAATATTTGCAACTTTTCTGGTGATATTCTTTTTAAATCTGGTAAACAATATTTTGTGACAAAATAAGATAAATTATTTATATAAACAGAATATGGGAAAAATTGTGCATAATAACAATGGGAATGGGTAGAAAACCTCGACATAAAAAAGAAAATGTAAAAAGGGGAATTCTATAGAAGGAACTGTTCCTGAGATATCATGATGAGAAGGAATCATCAAATGGGGCAAGATTTGCACAAATCAATAGTAATAAAGAAATTAGTGGCACACTGAGAGACAGAGGTAAACATATGGGAGGGCTGAATAACTACCTATAAAGAAACTTCAAAAGAATGGCATACATAAGACAAACGCACAGTTCATACATGTCAAGATAAACAACACTTGAGAACTGTACAATGCTTGCTGACATAGAACATAGCAGATACATAATTAAGAAGGTGGCAGTTACAGTAAGCATTCAAAGTGCCCACCATGTATTCACTGACATGCAACTGTATGTCATGGAAAAGTAGCTTGCACACATCAGGACATGTCTCATCAATGGTTGCTGCAGTAGTATGAAACTATGCTGTGAAGTCTTCCATGTCAGTTACTGGATTACTGAAAACAATTTAGTTTAGGTATCCCAAAAGGAAGATGTCCAGACATTTCACATTTCGTTATTTCACAGGCCATGAAACAGGGCTGGTACATCCTAGATACCTATCAGAAACTGTGTGTGTTGAGCTACTGTTGGATCTATGCACTAAAAGGCACCGCTGTCCAATCATGCTGAAGCCACATGTCAAATTAAACTGCTAGTGACACATCTGCAAACAGCACCTCTAGCACTTCCTACAGGTATGAACAATAAGCAGGGCCATTGGGGCACTAGAGTGGTAGGTATTGTCAGTGAACTTGATGCCCCACAGGATTGTGTTGTGCCTACAAGTGACCACTGTGACTGTTGAAAACACTTTCACCTGTGAATGCTGCTCTGTCTGATCATAAGATGTGCACCAAAAGCCTGTGTCATGTTCATATTCCCATAAATGCCACTCGCAGTACTGGAGACAATGATGATAATCATAAGGCATTAAACCTTGAACACACTAGTAATGGTATGGATACAGGTTTAAATGTACAGCATTATGTTTGGCACCCACCTCTTGGGCAATTCCTCATGTTCTATGACATGAATTCTGTGCCACCATAACCAGAAACATCTCTTCAAGTGCTGATGTCTGGTGAGTGTGTGGTTCACCTCAGTTCAATTATGGTGTTGGCAGGTCATTGCCAATCTCCCTTATCCTCATACCTAGCTGGAAAAGCACATTACTGTCTAGATGGTGGCATGTTGGATAACTTTTGCATAAGCCCTGGTTACCACAAGGACCAAGAATCAAATACATGTTGTGGTATTTGTGCAACGTGAAGTTCAATTTATTTACTGTTTCTTACTGATGTTTTACTGCCATGGGATCACTACACAGTACAACAATAAGACTACTACAGTGTACTGAGAGATGTTCACTGTTGACAATGGCATCACAGGAAGCTATCTTCATATTTACTGTGCTGTACATAATGTCCTATGAGCCTTGGTCCTCCTACAGCAAGCTTAACCCCATTTGATGGTTATGTATAAATTCTTTCCAAAGAATTCTTCCCCTTACATTTCGTTTTGTTTTGTGGTTTCTCACTCATTCCTGTTATTGTGTACCAGTCATTTTTTGGCAGTATGCAACCGTATAGTATACTGTGTTTTCTTGCCCAAAAATAAGCATATGAAGGAACAAAGTATTTGTAAGTATGGCTAAATTTTTATTTTAGCTTAAGTCTGTTGATAGTATTTTTATCAACGTAATTTTAAAAATATCCTCCCCCTTTCTTTCTACAATAACGCAATTCGTTATTTTTAGACACACATTTGGTCTTATGGCAATAGTTCGATAAGACTCAATACCAAATTATGGGAAACTTATTATGAAATTCTATGAACATGTCTAAATGAAACGTTGCTGTATTTGTCATGAAGCACCAATACAGAGTGGAATAAAACTTTGAGGTTATGTTTGATGACTCTGAAGATGTTAAAATTCTACCTTAACAAAAATATTACAAAAAATTACATGAAGAAGATACGTTCAATGTAAAGTTTTGGCTGGCTTCATTACTAAAATAGATTTTTTATTTTCATTTACACTGAAAATACATCCTTCAGTTCAAAATTCTTGCTACTTACATTATGATAAGTTTGCTCTAGAACCTGGTATTCACTCAGCTTAGTAATTTCACCTTCTCTTTGTCCTTCTTCTTCCTCTTCAGACTCAGATGTCTCTTCTTGGGTCTGTAAAATGAAAAGCCATGTTTATCTACAAAAATATTAAAGTTGAGAGTTTGTAGTGTAGCTCAGGATTAGGGCCTATAATAGGTTAGTATGTTAGTAGTTCAAGTTCTGTTGCTAAATATTTAGTTACAGCGTGACAGATTAAAGAAAGTGAAGGCAGTGGGGAAATCAGGTATTTGGCTTTCGTTGCTCTGCTCAATAGCAATTAGTCAGTTCAAAGAAATTTCAAGAACTTTTCCATACCACAGACTGCATTCTGATTACCACTTAACCTTACCTCATCAAAGAAACTCAAGCCAAGCTCAACTAAACCAGACCCAGGAGCAATGCGGGATCAGAAACTGCCCTGAAACATATGGTGATGGAACCTAAACTATTTTGTACTGCATCCAAATGGTTTTTTTAATAAGTTATATATCATTTAAAATACCTCTTTTTCAGTCAGACCTTCTTCCATGATTAAGAAATTATTGCTGTATTCTTCACTGCCTCAAAAATTCACAAACACAGGAGTATGAAGCAATTTTTTACATAAACATGAATTTCAATAACATACTTTTAAAACAATTAAAAAGATTAAAAGTGCGTAAAACCAGTAATAAAGCCTACAAAAACTGATCTCAGACTCTGTATGATGTGTATGATGAACAAACTACATCAGGCAACTTATTTTCGTTTGTCCCCCCCCCCCCCCCCCTCTGTGTGCATGTTACCAGGCATGTTACCAGCCATGCTCTCTAGAAACCAGACTCTATGAAATGTGTAAAAATGAGTTTCCGTAGAAAAATATGATGTAGAAATAGTATTTACAGAGCTTATTAAGTAAAGTAAAGTTTGTCCTGCTATGTGCCATGTAGGCGCTTGGGGTGAGAGGAGGTATAGCTCCTCCCTTTCTTGACCTCGGCTTATTAACCACTCATGTTATATTATCTCTTCAGAGCTTGAACTTATTTTTAACTCTTTGAAGTCAAACCTCATCTAAATAATATTTAAAGATTCAGTTCCTACCTCAAAGAAATAACAAAACTTTTCCATTACAATGACCAATCGGTTAATGATGCTTTATATTATTTATTTAGTGTTCTGTCTGACGACAGGTCCATATGAACAGGATCCTTCCATCCTTTTCTCGGACTGGGACCTGTTCATATACGTTCTTGGCAGATGATCCAGAAGTGGTTTGCCATTGCCTTCTTCTGTGTGTGAATGGAGCAATTGTTGGGATGCCACTGAGAAACCGGGGAAGCCCCCGGAGGAAAACTCCGTGCTCCCTAGACCACGGCCTTGCCCAACACAAGTTATAAATTCGGGCACCGCTGGGAATCGAACCCGAGACCCCATGATTACAAGGCCAGCGTCCTAACCGCTAGATCACCGTGATGCTTAGCAAAATTAAAGCTGTATATTCTGATAATCATATAAAATCCATGAATACAGACTGTGGGAAAAATTAAGATTATTTGTTGATAATCAGGTAGTTTAGGCATTAAAGGGCTAGACCCTGCGCGCACGAGCGGTTTGGGCCGCGGTGGTTTTTCTGCCGCATTGATAGAACTCACTGTTTCAGTAGGAAGTGAGCGCACGTGCTTTAGTTTTTCTGCCGCAACATGCTTTATTTCCGATGCGGTGCGGTGGCCTCACAGCGGCTGGCGGTGGCAATAGAATACCTGTTTGCCCATTGTTTGCCCGACCTTGGTGTAACTGAATAGGAGAAAAGGCCGGCACTGTACAGTTCGACCATGTCGGAGTATATCGGAGTACAGTGACAAAGCCTAAAGAGAAACTGTGGATAGAAGTCTGTGAAGTTCTACTGCCAAACTCGAGCCTACTTGACAAAAACAGAAAGTATCTGAATAATTTCTTTGGATACATACGCAGGTCTTCATACAACTTGTGAACTTGGGCTTTCAAAAATCGTTGACTTACAAGCAGAAGAAACCAAAATTTATTTCTACGCTTTGCCCCTGCTCTTAGCAAAAAGTGCACACAGCGACAGTCTCAACAAAATCCATACCTCGACTTTTCAGCCTAGAGCGCACACCAACTATCTCCACAAAATCCAGCTCCCAACTGAAAAGAAAACACAAACATTTGTGTTTATTTCACCGTCCGTGCGCACAGTCGACAAGAATTTGCGGTTGCGGTTGTTCTATCACTGCGGCGAAAAAAACGTTTGTGCGCGCTAGCCCTTAATGTTTAATGTTTATAACAGAGACCCCATCTTTATTATAATTTATTACTTCGGGAAGTCTTAATCTGACTCTACTGTCTTCATGTAAATTCTATGGCCTTTGCTTTTCATAATATATGTAAATGACCTTCCTCCAACAAAAATTAACTTATCAAAACCCATAATGTTCACTGATGATACAAATGTCATAATTGCTAGTAACAATTTTCATAACTTCTATACAATGTCAAACACAGTCTCTCTCATATGAATAAGCGGTTCACTGGTAACAACTGGCCGTAAATCTAGATGGAACAATTGTAATAAAATTTATAACAACTAATTCACCACAATGTGCCTAAAGTATTGGTTATTACAGAAAGTACATAGAAGAGTCAGTAAATATGAGATTTCTTGGTTCACAAATTGATAATCATATAAATTCGAAAAATCATATTGATCAAATGGTTCTGAAGTGAAGTAAAGCATGTCATGCAGTTAGAACCATGTTTCATGTCAGCAACACTGAAACTCTCAAATCAGCTTATTTTGTCTATTTTCACTCTATAATGACGCATGGAAGATATTCACTTTACAAAAGAAACTTGTCAGGATAATGGGTGGTGTCAAACACAAAAATTCACGCAGAAGTCTATTTAAGAGATTAAAGATATTACCTCTTCCACGTATTTAGACTGAAGATGGTGATAGTCCTGATGATGGAGGCAGCAGCGACCTCTGAAACGTCGGTAATCTTCTGCCAGACTACACGGCACATCAACCCAGAAGACAGCCATCTTCAGGCTCACTGCCGTGAAAACCTCAAATCCTACCGAATTTATATTCTCATTAATGAACTTCATTGTGATTATTCAGGAACAATGCGGAAAAATTCTGCTGTACAATGTTAATACAAGGAAAAATTATTAGCTTCACAAATCAATTGCTAATCACTCATGCATTCAGAAAAGTGCAGTCTATGCTGGCATCAAAATTTTCAACAGTCTACCATCTAGTCGCATGAGTTGTATGAATAAAAATAACAATTTAAAGTAGCAATTAAAGGGTACTTAAATAAATATTCGTTTTACTCTGTTGATCAATTTATAATGTTTGAAAAGACTTATAATACTTTTAAATTTTTTCTTGCCTTTCTATAATAGAAATGGGTAGTATAATTTATACTTTATATGAAATACTTTTATACTAAAATATGTTATTATTTTATAAATGTATTATTATTTATATTAAAATATATTTTTTCTATGTCAAAAGTTTATAATAGTACTTAATTGTACTTAGTATAATTGCACTTGTATACGTATATGTACTGTATTTCTTATGGCTTATTCCACACCCTACTGTTATCTGACTAACCATACGTCCAAGGAATGTAATATTCTGCTTGTATGAATGAATTAATGAATAAATGACAACTTTCGTAGGGGAAGTGGAGGAAATCGCGCCAATAAACGTAGAGGCTGCGCGAGCAAAGAACTGATTTTGGTCATGAGATGGACCCGTCTGAATCATGCGCAAGAGGGGTGCCAGGTTTAGTTGGTTTGTAGCTCTAGCTGTGTTTAGATCGGTACGCCATCTGCTATAAGCAAATTAAAAGCATTGACCTACTCGGTGTTTTGCTGTTCATAGTCATAAAAACTAAAAGTTTCAACGTCGTTAGATACATCTATTTTATTTGTTTATCCATTTATTTGTATTGCAACCTCTAATTTAATAACATGACAACCTCTAAGATAGGCGATAACAGAGTTATTCACAGTCAAGGACGCGAGATTATGTCAGACGAGGAAGGGGATGTCATAAAAATCCCTTCAAAGAGTGTTGGCTGGAGGGTGATGGCTGCCACTGACATTTCCAAGCGAACACTTGCAAGAATTATCAAAGAGGGAAAGAAAGTTTATAAATCACTTTCAAAAAAAGAAGAAGGTCGCAGTCGTAGATGCATTCGATGATGAAATCATCAAAAGATTAATTCATCATTTTCACGTGACACAAAGCCAGCGGACTGCTTTGAATACTCTTCTTCATTTGATTAGTGAAAACACCAATGTCAAGGGAGGTAAAACATCTTTGAGAATAGTTTTGAAGAAGCTAGGGTTCAGGTATTTAAAAAAAAAAACATTCCTCGAAACAAATCTGCACAACCTTTGTTTTGGTTAAAAATTTTGAATAATTTTCCCATAAACGTTTCTTTTAGATGGAAGAAAACTAGATACAATACACAAGTAATTGTAGAACGCTGTAATATTAGAGCCCTGAGAATGGCCTACCTCAGAGCAATAGGAAATTACCGTCAGGAAGGCAGGCTTATAATACATGTGGACGAAACATATCTACATAGCTCCCACACCATTCCACATGAGTGGACAGACGAAAGTACTGCGGGAGTCAAAGCTTCCATGTCCAAAGGACAACGTCTCATTATCGTTCATGGAGGTAACTGATTAAATATATCAAATTATAATTTGAAATGCGAAACACAAACAGTATAATTTATTTTAAAATTTACCTTTCTCTTATTTATAAAATAAAATCAGTTCGACCACGTCACAGTTCTGTAGAGTATTTTCTTATTTACAGGAGGGGACGCTGGATTTGTTCCTAACGCCCTTTTAATGTTTAAATCAGGAATGAAAACTTTACCAATACTTTATGGAGCGTGCACCATAATGAACATCATAACCATCTGCAAGGACTGCCAGTACTGAATGGTCCCATATTAGCTTTATTTTGTGTTTCTCCATAGCCTGAAATACAAGAAATGTAAAAATATATAATGAAGAATGTAATATTATTGTGTTCATCATACAAACATCATCAAATTTCCATCATATCTAAAATTACTAACAACTTGTGATTAAATTTGTTGTCTGAATCTACACTAAAAACTATCCACCAAATTTAATTTTGGTTCACACTGCTGATCCAATGAAGTATCTACTTTATATAAAGTTCAATCCAAACTTTAAAATGTTTTTAAATAATTTTACATACGGTGAATATTTAATGAAACAGACTGATAATTTCTAACTGCATGCAGTATGATATCTGTAATGTGATCAGCTCCACAAGAAATTTAACATTAAGGAAAAAATATAGAAAGCACATTTGGAAAACATGTACTCCTTATATGTGCAGGCTACGGTTTCCATTCTTATTTCTCTAACCTCAAATATTTGCAGTATGGTCTTATGATTATATTAGCCATTGCCCACCACTTCTCAGATGATATTATGTATATTTCCAATGACAGTAATAATAAAAATTAGAAACCTACAGCTGTGTGATTTGAATACATTTGCTCACAGCTCTTAATTTTGATGCTTGTAATTTTCATACTAACTGTGCAAAATGCAAAATTGAAAATACCACTATGGAGCTCAAAATTGCTTGGTCAAAAATGAGACCAGCAAATCACTACTGGTATACT